CCCCCCCCCCCCCCCGCCAACACCCCAGTACAAGTGACAACATCTAAGGCTTGGGTAGCACTTCTCAGCTTATCAACGAGCTCTTACAAACATTATCTCATTAAGTGAGGCTGAGGTGGGAGGAAGCTGTCATTCCGCAGCTTCTGATAAAGTCCCAAAGGGCTCACCCTGGGTCTTCAGTTACCAGTCTTGCTCCTACCCATGGCATACCCCTTAACTGTACTTTTCCAGGCCTCACCTCCTGGTAGCCACACAGAAGCTCTTGCTCCAGGGGAACTCATCTGGAGAGGGAAAAGGCACCTTGTGCCTCAGGCAACACATCAATGCAGAGAAGCAGAGCTCTGCAGCACACAGCACTCCCAGCCCCAAGATGTGCCGTGCTCCACAAACAGCTTTTTTTAGAGTTCAGACAATGTGGACAGACATGTGCTTATCTGGCGAGCCAGCAGGACTGTGATGATGGCTCCTTTTACAGTGTCCCCACCACAGCCACGCCTAGGCTGAAGGTTGTCCACAGGTCACTGCTGGAACCCTCAACTCATAGGCCTCCACTGTACAGTTGGAGAAAGTGAGGCAGAGACTACTTAAGGGACTCCCACCCTACCAAGCACTCTTATAGGCCCACACCTACTGGCTTCAGGACCTTGCCTCCTGGCTCTTGAGCTTGGAATCATTGGCTCTTCTGGCTGATCACTCTGTCTACCCCACACCCTGCCAGTACCCACCAGTCTCAAACCACTGTCTCAGATGGGCCAGGGTCAGTAGAGCTGAAGCTGCCTTCCGGCAGTTCTCTATATCACCCTGACAATGAGAAGATGGGTTTTCCCTCTTCTTGTCCACTACTCAGGGAGGTCAGGGGAACTCAGGGGTAGTCCCGGGAAAGCCCTCATTCTTCCCAACAACAGGCAGGCGTGGCTGGTTCTTCCTATGAGGCTGCCTGTGTGCCAAGAGCTGCCTGGCCTGGCAGTGTCCTCGTCCCAGGGCCGTGCTGGCTGCTGAGGTCAGTCAGCACTCTCAAGTACTGACGTCTTGCCACTCCTCCCCCAGCCTGTCTGGGCTGGGTAGGAAACTGGGAGCTGCAGATGGTGAGCTCACTCTGGAAACCCCCTCTGGCTGTGGGGCAATACCTAGGCGGGCTCCCAAGTAAGTGACCTGGAGAACCCAGGGGACACATGGGGGTGGGAGGCTGGAGAATACACACAGCTCCCATATGCTACATGATGGCTGGGTATAGGAAGCCAAGCCCAGAGGTAGGACCAAGTCTCTCAAACAAGCAGGCACACTCAGAGCCCCTTGAGTTCTTCCTGGTCTCACCTGGTGCCTGGCACCAGGGACAGGAAAGATATACTGACACCCCCCAGTGGTCCTCCAGGGCCTGAGTGGTATGACTTCCTCTTCTTTCAGAACTTTCCGGGGCAGTGGGGGTGGTGGTGGGGTGACGGGGAGACGGGACAGTCCAGAATGAAAAAATGAAATAGAAGTTATAGAGATTTGTTTATCAGGCTTTTGGGGAGATGGCTTTGTACGGTTCTGAGTGCTCAGCTTTGAGTCTTGAGGGTAACTAGTACTGTCTGGCCAGTGGAAAAAGTCTTACTTGCCAGATGTGGTAGCGCAGGCCTTTAATCCCAACACTTGGGAGGCAGAGGCAGGCGGATCTCTGTAAGTTGGAGGCCAGCCTGGTCTACATATTAAGTTTCAGGTCAGCCAGGCCTACATAGTGAGACCTTGTCTCAAAACCAGACCATTACAAGCAAGCACTACCAGGCCTGGCCTCACTCAGTCTTTATAGTAGAAAGACACAAATCACCAACCGACCAACCAGAGATGTCTGCCTGCTCTCCCACTCCATCAGGGCTCCTAGGTGAGAAATCCAGATACAGACAGGATGGAGGGAGATGGAAAATGTCAGGAGCTACAAAGATAGCCTGAACTTCTGCACAAAGATCTGGCTGCCTCATCTGACCCTGTCCCACCTGGCCAGCAACACCTCCCCTAATACCATTCCCAGAAAGCTAGGAGTCCAGCCCAGAAGCCCAACTCCACAGCTCTTAGCCATCTCTCTGGGGTTCTGTGAGATGGCTTTGAAACTCTTCATCTCCACCTGGCACTCAACTAATGCCACAACAGGATCTGAACCCACCCTGGTCAGGGTTCCCACCACCACGGGGGAAATCTATACTGTTGGAAGGATGAGGGGGAAGGAATTAGGAAGTCTAATACCCCCAGATGCTACTTTTCTGGTGTAAATAACTAGGATGGGAAAATTCTAGTTCGTCACATGGCATCACCTACCCATGAGGCCTCAGCTAACTCCAGCTTTGGGAAACTCTCTGGGAACAGAGCTTACCCCTTCCCCCATCCCCAGGGATATTTGAGCTCAGGGCTACTGTGGTTCACCCTGTATGGGAAGCTATCCTAGGGTGAAGATCCCCCTCCACTGGGCCAGTGGCCAGCAGGCAAGAGACAGCCTCATGGCACAGACATAGGACAGGATGCCTGCCAGGGCAAACACTATCCTCACACCTCCTTACCTCTCTCTCATTTAAGTTTACTTGAAGTTCCTCCCCAGCCCCTGGAGAAGTTGATGGGCCAGGTTCCATCTTAACCTATCAAATTCGTGGGCTGGGCACTTCTGTGTTGTAGGGCCGACATGCGCATTATAGGAGCATCCTGGCTAGACAGCCAAAATGTCTCCAGACGTTTCCAAATAGTCTTTTGCAGTCAAAAGTGGCCCCCCTCTTAAATCGAGAGCCATTGCTGAAAACCAAGTTTCGCTTTCCCTCCCTGTCACAACAGCAAAACACAAATACCAGGGCCACTGTTCTGCCACCAAATGAAATGTTACACACACACTGGAATCCTGTTTGGCTGTTTGGGAAACAACAGCCACTCACTTCACTTGTAGGACACACCCCATCTTCTCTCTGAAGTCCCAACCCTACAGACCTTAGAATTTCATCCAGCTGGGACAGGCGGGGACTCGGGTACCCCTCTCTACCCTGCGGTGAGGGGAAAGGCTTGGACACATTACCACATTACCTATGCCTCCCTAACCTCTAACGATGCAGGAACATAGCAGGGCACAACTCTCCAAGCCTCAGTCCAGAAGTCAGGACCAATTTCTGAGCTCCGGTCCAGTCTCTGGACCCGTGGTGTGAACCGCAATCTCCCACCCCCGCACGTGTTTCCACCTCGGAGAGGTTCAACACAGAAACTTAGGTCCCCAGGACTTGGGGGCTTCACCGGGGAGAGAGGGGTGGAGAGTCTAGAAGAGGGTCTGAACCGCGGGCACTTTTGGGTGCAAGGCCAGGCCACGCGTCCCAACCCGGGCAGTGCCCTCTCTTCCTGCCTGGACTTTAAAACTTCTGCCCAAGAGACGCGCCCCCACATTTGGTGACCGTGCCCCGGGGATCTCCCAGTCGGAGCCGAGCCTAGGGGGGATCCAGCGACCCCCCGCCCCCAGCGCGGTCCGGGGCGCTGCGCTAGGCGGGTACCCCCAACCTCCCGCTCGGCCGCCCGGAGCAGCTGCGCCCCGCTCCGCGACCCCTGGTTGCTCCGCAGCGCGGCCGCCCCGTGCTCCGCCCCACCTGACGCCGGGTGCTCACCTCCCGGGGGCCGGACGGCCCTGGACGCAGCTCCCAGCAGCGTGCACAGCGGCCGGGCGGCGGCTCTTCGGGGGCGGGGCGCCGGAGCTCCGCCTCTTCCCTACCTGCGCCCGGGCGCGGGGGCGGGGCCTCGGGGCGGGGCCTCGGGGGGCGTGGTCTGCCCTCTGTGTTCGCGCTCCCCCGGCTCCAGCCCTTGCCGCTCCACCCCGTGAGTGCTCCGCTCTGGGTCCAAGCTGGTTTCTCCGTGGCGCGGTCCTCTCCCTCCCGCTTCCTTTCCCCTCCGAGGACGAAGCTCTGTACCCTGCCATCATGACGTCACGCCTTCGCCGAAAGTCAAGTCACCCAGGGCTGGGGATGTAGTTCAGTGGAAGAGCACTTGCCTAGCAAGCGGGATGGCTTAGGTTCGATTCTTATGCTCCGCTCTGGGTCCAAGCTGGTTTCTCCGTGGCGCGGTCCTCTCCCTCCCGCTTCCTTTCCCCTCCGAGGACGAAGCTCTGTACCCTGCCATCATGACGTCACGCCTTCGCCGAAAGTCAAGTCACCCAGGGCTGGGGATGTAGTTCAGTGGAAGAGCACTTGCCTAGCAAGCGGGATGGCTTAGGTTCGATTCTTAGAAACACACACGCACACCACATACACATACACACACCACACACATACACACCACACACACACACACACACCACACACACACACACACACACCACACACACCACACACACAGACACACCACACACACACACACACACACACACACACACACCACACACCACACACACACACACACACACTCACCATACACCCACACACCCCCCCCACACACACACACCCACCCACACACCCCCCACACCCACACACACACCCCACCCACCACACACACACACCACACACACCCACACACCCCCCACACACACACACCCCCACCCCACACACCACACACACAGACCCACCCCCCACACACACACACACACCCACACCACACACACCACACACACAGACACACACACACACACCACACACTCTCACACACACACCACACACACACACACACACACACACACACACCACACACAAACACTTGCACATACACGCAGTCTCACCTTCCCTCCCTCCAGCCCGTCTCTCCAGCGTTTGACTGCAGGAGCCCCTACCGGAATCCTTTCCTTGAAGCACATTTGGAGCATCTTGACTGCTTCAAATCACTGCAGCTCTGGCCTCCAGGGAGCCCTCCCTGATCGCTCCTCTCTCTATTGGAACGACCTCTTCTCAGGCCTGGGGCGCCTTCTAGGGGAGGCTAGATCTTGCTGAAGACTAGATCCCATCACCTTGGCTACGTCGTTAGAACTAAACTCTCAGAGCCTACTTGGGCCCCAGGCTGGCAGTTAGTCTTGAGGACTCTCCCTTAGGGCAAAAATCCATGTTGCCCTGGGCCCAAGGACACAGAAACTTCCTGCTGGAGTTGAAAGTTGGTTCACACAGGAGTCTGCAGCAGACACAGAAGAAGGCTTTCCAGGTCCTGGTCAGCCATCTGGACAGCAATTGGCTCAGGCCATGACCCTAGGTACTCTGGCCTAGTCATAATTGGCCAAGCATCAACGACTGTCAGGTTCCCTGGCTCGCTTGATTGAATGCAATGAGAGACCACTGTAAAGAATTTCTGCTAACAGGGTATCTTCAGGAGCTGGGGGTTCAAATCCTGACCTTGCCAATGACTGCCTCTGTGATCTTAGACAAATCCCCCAAGCACCAGTAAGTCCCATGTAGGGCAGGTGGTACTAACTAGCAGTTACAGTTATCTTTGTAGCATTGAGGGTGGGCCTGTGGGCCCTCCCCTCAAATCTGAGCCAAAGGCTTTTTGTCTCATAGCCTTCATTTCTAGTTACACTGGGTCCAGAGGAGCCGGGCTGTGCTTCCTCATCTCCCTCTGGACCCTAAAGCCCCTCTCTTAACTCTGTCGCATCCTGAGGTGGTGGCACCTTGCATTGCTCCCACTTACCACCCTTCCACTCCCATGGCCCTGTGCTAAGGCCAAAATTTATAACACACTCTCCACCATCCCCACACTCCTGCCCAGGACCACTGACAGGACCTGTCCAGCTCCTACCGAGCAGGTATGGAGGAGAGCGGTGTCCCTTCTCTAAACTCCAAGGGTCTGGTTTATTAACCTCCCACTTGGACTTGACATGGAAGCCTGTGGCAGGAAGGGAATGGCATAGAAGAGAACTGGACCTGTACCTCAAGGTCTGGAGCCCCTGTACCCATGGAAACTCAGACTTGGAGGGCTACAGTGGTGATGGTCTCAGGGTGAGTCAAGACCCTGGTCTCTGGGAGTGGTCCTGAGCCATCTTGCTCCCCAATCCATCCCCTTGATATTTGTCAGACTTGGGTGTGGGTAGAGTGAAAAAACAGAAAGAGGGGGAAGGACTCCTGGCTTGCTGGGGGATATCCAGGGTGACACATCTCTTTTCCCCAGCCCCATGGAGAGGCATGGCTGGGAGGAGGACAGCTGGTCGAAGCCGGGGGTTATTCCTTTGAAGCAAATGTAGGGAGCACTCAGCACATTTGGGGGATCTCTGCAGAAAGGAGTCAAGTAAGAACCTGCCCTTGGGGCTGAGGGCTTGCCTAGCATGCGTGCATGCAAGATGCTCAGGGTTCAATTCTCAGCACTGAAAAAAAAAAAAACAAAAAAAAAACCAAAAACCAAAACCAACCACTAAGGAAACAAAAGCACTCCAGTACCATGCAGGAAGAAGAGTCTAATGTGCTGTGGTAGGAAGGGTGAGGGCAGCCGGCCAATCCGGGTCCTTTTCTCCTCAGTCTGTTGTCTCCCTAGATCCCTGGCACAGTTCCGTATAGTGAGTACCATTATGTCCATCCTGTGGTGAGGAGGTAGAGGACATGGGTGGGGCGGCTGGGACTGTGTCCAGGCACAGTCTGACTTTAGATCTAGCAGGCGGTGCTCCAGCACTGCAGTGTATTGCCAAGCACATGGATTAGATATCTATGCCGCAGAAACCCGGTGCCATGCTGGCCAGCCCTGTAGATGCACAGGTGCCGAGCACAGCCTTGGCTACAGCAAGCCACCTGTCCTGCTGGAGAGGCAAGAGTGAGAAACAGGCCAGGTGTGTAATTTGGGTGATGTCATACAGCTGCTAAGGGCACTAAGGCAAGTCTGTATGCTGATAAGAAATTATCTCCAAGATGCACTAAGTGGAGCAAGGAAAAAGCAAGATGCGTATACTACTTTATAACTTAAAAATAATTTCAAAACTTTCGAGACAGGGCCTTCCTCGATAGCCCAGACTAGCCTTGAATTTTTAAAATTAATTAGTTTATTTTTATTATTTTCTGTATATGAGTGTTTTGCCTGCATGCATGTAAGTGCACCACAGTGTGCAATGCCAGCGTAGTGGCTGGCCTAGAACTCACTATATAGCCCAGGTTGACTTCAAACTCACAGTAATCCTCCTGCCTCCACCATCTGAGTGCTGAGATTATAGCCATGTGCCACCAGGCCTGGTGTTTCAGTTTCAAAATGAGATGCCTTGCCCTGTGTAAGCAAGGCATGTGCATGCTCTCCAACTAGGGATCTGGGTACTGCACACCCTGAATCTGCTAAGACTTGCCTTGCAAACATGAGATTAGGGCGAAAGGACCTTGAAGTCATATTGGCAAACTTGAACAAGCTCTGGCACTTTTCCTTACCTGTGAAGAATGACCAGTTCTTGTCCATAGGAGCAAAATGTTAGCAGTCAACTGTCATTGAGAATTTTTATGTGTGCATGCATGAATGCATGCGTGTGTGTGTGTATGTATGTGGAGGTTGGAGGATAACCTCAGATGTTATGACTCAGGCTCTGTCTACCTTGTTTTAAGACAGGGTTTCTCATTGGCCTGGAGCTCACCAATTCAGCAAGGCGAAGTGGCCAGCAAACCCCAGGGATCCATCTGTCTTCACCTCCCCAGTGCACCAAAAAGACCAGCTTTTTTTGGGGGGGGGTCTTTTTGAGACAGGGTCTCCCTGTAGCCCCAGCTGTCCTGGAACTCACTATGTAGACCAGGCTGGCCTTGA